ACTACATGTCTATACAAATTTGTGCAGGCACTAAAAATGCTATAAGCACTAATGAACCATGCACGCATGTACCGAGTTTAGTTAAACACATGAAAGTGCACAACAAGTGAGTTGAACACTTCCACGTATTAACTTGCAGTTTTGCACCATAATTGGTTTATCAGTGAATATACAAAGCTGTGCAGAATTGAAAAATGTATGTGTAATTCTGCCTGAATCGTATTCGAACTTTGTCAGAGATTTTCACAAAACACCGTTTGACGTTGATATTGTTTCTGTGAACCGAGACCCGCCTTCGTTACGTTTTTCAGCCAGTCGGTTTATACACATGTCCCGACAGATTGAAAAGAAACAGTGCCAACGTATTGGTTTGTGGTAAAGAGGAGTTGTATTAAAACTAATCGAAATAGTGATCCTAGGCCAAAGTTCAGGTGTATGGCGTCACACTAGCGCGCGACCACACGTTCCTAACGTGTTTACCTCATTGTTTGCCGCGGCTGCGGCGGGGCCAACGACCGCAGCGCAGCCGGCAGCCGTTGTGGTGGTCAGGGACCCGCGGGACGGGTTGGGGCGGGTAGGGGCAGCGCAAGGTGCTCGGCGGGGGCCCGCATCATCGGCCCTATTTGGCGGTTGTTTCACGGACCAAATGGAACTTGAACAAAGCCACAAGCTGCTCAATAGAACAAGCCTATTAGAAAGAAACGCTCGTCGTCATCGCAGCCAGCCCCCACCCCTCAGCTTCACCGAGGCACAAAAGCCTAACGGACAGCGCATCGACCACTTTTGGGGACGTGGCATCCAAACGTATGGGTTATTTGTGTTCAAAATTGGTCAAATTTATGTACAGTTTGATCAAACGAAAATGAAAAATTTACGCGAAATCGAAAGAAAATTGGGTAGGGTTAGCAAACGAGGTATTTTCTTTTATTTCTGGAAATTTCGAAATTTTCCTCGATCGAGGCGAATAATTTTGCTTGATCAATTTATACGGTCCCGTCGTGATCGCGAGGCCGTATTCCGCCGGCCCAGCAGGCTCGCGCCTCGCTGCGCGCCGCCCGGCGCCCGGCGCGGGCCTGGGCTGGACACGCGTCCCTATGATCGATGCCGGCCGTTGTTCCGGCGGGCGCGCGGCACGGCACGGCGAGACCGTAAGTCTTACAGTAAGAGCGGGGCTGAGTCATTGCCTCCCGTCACGGGGCCCACGAAGCGTTGCCTGCTGAAATGCGAGTCCCATACCGTTGCCTATCGTGACGGCGGCGGCGGGATGGTGGTGGCGAGCGGGGCCGGCGGGGGTGGCGTCTATAGTGCCCCTCCGAGGGACACGCGGGCCGGCTAGGGTTCCCGGAAGTGGAAGCAGGGTGCCACCTCCCTCTCCCCTTTCTCCTCCCGCGCACACGCGCCTGGACCTCGGCCTGGACGCTCGCGCCGCTTGTCGTTGTCGTAGAGGACCTCGCGTATCGGAGCGGCGGCATCGGCGGGGCCGCTCAGCAGTGTGAAAGTGAACGTCATCGGGAACAATCAGCCGCCACCAGGCGAGGGTCACCCCAGCGCGGGGCGCACTGGAGCGGATCACCCCCCGCCGAAAGCACGCGTCGTTTGCAGATTCCAAGAGGAGCGGCCTGCCTTTCACTCCGTAGAGCGACGCAGAGGAGAGATAAGCGATCAGACCCGAAGACTTGAGTTGCGAAGGACACTAATACTAGAACGGTCTCCTCTTGCGTAGCTCAATACATTTGCATTATTTTGTGCGACGTTTAGAGTTTCTTGCTGCCCTTTTGGAAACTCGGGCAGTTGACTCCAACGTCATTGTTTTCAAGGATTTACTGTGAAACGCTTGCCCCTTTCCTCGCAGGTCCTGGTAGCGGCCACGGCCGTAGGGCCGCTGGTCCGTGCGCGACCGGAGGCTGGCTACTCGTACAACTCGCCACAACAGGCGCCCTCCTCCAGCTACGGGGCACCGGGAGGTGGCGGCGGGGGCGGCGGATACTCTGGGGGCGGAGGAGGTGAGACCCAGCCCGTTTCACATCCTGCATAAATATAGAAATATTCCTGTTAACATAGATGTACGTCAATTTTCAGGAGGATTTGGGGGTGGCGGAAGCGGTGGCTTCGGCGGGGGCGGCGGTGGCCGAGGAGGAGGCGGCGGAGGTTTCGGGGGCGGCGGCAGTGGCGGCGGCGGCTTGTCTCGCGGTGGTAAATATTTCCTTGGGGGCGGCGGCGGCGGCTTCGGAGGAGGCGGCGGTGGAGCCGGAGGCGGCGGCGGTTACAGCGGGGGCGGAGGCGGAGGCGGGGTAAGTGAAAACAGTACAAAATCTTGTGGCTACCGGCCTTCAGTGGTAATACACTCATATTGTTCACTGCTCTAGGAAGCCCTGGTTCAGAAGCACATTTACGTGCACGTGGCCCCCGAAGAGCCTCAGGAGACCCGCCAGCAGCGGACGCAGGCACCGCAGCAGCCTCGCAAGCACTACAAGATCGTCTTCATCAAGGCGCCGACGGCGCCCGCCCCCACGGCCGCCCAGATCCAGCTGCCACAGCAGGACGAGGAGAAGACTCTCATCTACGTGCTGTCCAAGAAGCAGGAGGACGCGCCCGAGGTCAGCATCCCCACGGCCGCTCCCACGCAGCCCTCCAAGCCCGAGGTCTACTTCATCCGCTACAAGACGCAGCGTGACTCGAGCGGCGGTGGCGGCGGAGGTGGAGGCGGCGGCGGCGGCTACAGTGGCGGCGGCGGGGGCGGCGCTGGTCCGTCTGGAGGCTTCGGCGGCGGCTCTGGCGGTGGCGGATACAGCGGCGGCGGCGGCGGCTCGTCTGGCGGTGGCGGCTACAGCGGCGGTGGCGGCTCGTCCGGCGGGGGCGGCTACAGTGGCGGCGGCGGCTCTTCCGGCGGCGGCTACAGCGGCGGCGCTCCTTCTTCAAGCTACGGCACACCAAGCTCCGGGGGCGGCGGAGGCGGCGGGCCGCCCTCGTCCAGCTACGGCACCCCAAGCTCCGGAGGCGGCGGCGGCGGTGGCGGGCCGCCCTCGTCCAGCTACGGCACTCCGAACTCCGGAGGCGGCGGCGGCGGGCCACCATCGTCCAGCTACGGCGCCCCCAGCTCCGGGGGCGGCGGTGGCAACGGCGGCTACCAGTAGTCCCGGTACCGCCCCACATCATTTGCTCACCCGCCACATCGCCATGCCCGCAACCCGACCCCCGAGCACAACCAGCTCATCAGACTGGACCTCGCACCCCGTGCCATTGTTATTGCCGTCGTTTTGACCGTACCTGGACGGCTGGGCACCGATGTGGTGGGCCCCGCTCATCTCTTCCTCTACTTTTAATCTTACTGCAAAGAAAAAAACGGTGGCAATACATGTATTTTTTATTTATTGTTTCGACTTATTTATTATTTTGTTGGAAGCGTGTGCGAACGCAGGCCGATTCCCGAAAGAAAAACTGTTCTCCTTTCTTGCCTCGGAAGCCGTGCCCCGTCGCTGACACAGCGCGACCTACACACCCCCCTCTCCTCGGAGCGCAGGAGTTGTGAGGCGCCATTCCGAGAAGCTGGGCAGCCATATTCATTAGCACGGTCAGCGGGTCAGCTGGACGGTATTGAGATTCAGCTGGGGGAGGCGCGCCGGCGCAGACTCACTCTCTACAGAGCTTGCGGGGGGTGGAGGTGGAGGGGCAGGGGGCGGGCACGAGCGACGGAGAAAACCGAGAGAGGGGGCGGGGGAGCCGCGGAGATAGGCATCGAAAGAGAATGATAGAAACGGAGAGAGAGAGGACAGGTGGAGGCGCCGTTACTGCTGGCGAGGGGGAGGGCGGCCGCAGCACTCTCAAAGGTCAGTGTGCCGATCCCCCCTCCCCCTCCCTCAGCTGCGCCGCCGCGCTTCCGTAACACGTGACACTACATGGTTCTACTGTGTCGCGGAGCTTCCAAAATGCTGCGGCAAACATCCCAAGCCAAGAGGCGTGAAGCCATAGGGCCGTTGAGGCGAGGGATGGAACTATCGGTGCGACTTAAGTTCTCCTCTGTATCTAAACAGATGATTTTCATGTTAGGTGTCGGGGTTTGTGTCAATTCGATAATCAGCCATAAGGCATTCCCAGTACCAACAGAGGGGTCAACAG